AAGGATCAATTAATTTTTTTTTCGTTTCTTACAATGTGCAAAAAAAAAGCTGTTGCTAATCTATTTAAAATGACCTCTAATGCTCAGTATATTTTTGAAAATTTTTTGTTGCGTTTCATATGGATTATTCAGGGAAGAGATAACATAGATGAATTCGCCTTGTACCGTTGAGTTAAAGTTATAGTAAATGATTTAATATAAAAAAATTATTTCTTTATAATACATTAAGAATTTTCATTCTATATCTTCTATTGGTTTCAAACAATCATCCATACATATTCATTGTCATTCTACAAATCCAAAATAGTACCAACAAATTAGTCTTGACAAAGAAAAATAATTTTCTATTTCTTTTTATGACTTTGGTCAACAATAATAAGATAGTTTCCAAAACTGTTCCTACTTGTGGCTTCCTCTTAAGAATGTTTTATAACATTCATAGATACTATAAGTATATGATCCTGTAACAATTTTCAATTCAGCACATATAAATACGATCATCAATATTCTTTTATTATAAGGGAAGTTGACGAATTCATAGATATTTTTACTCTCTTTCTTAATCGAATGTGTGTGTGTGTGTGTAGATGTGAGCATTAAACAAAAGACACGATGAGTTCGATTTTCATTCAACCGATTCTTGTGTGAACAAAAACTACAAGGACTTGTTCTTCATCAATACCTATCCTGCGGCTAGATTATAATAGGAGTTAGTGAGTGATGAATGAAGAAATGAAAATATTTTCGGTTAAATATAGTATACTTCCTCGATATATAAAAGCACAGCTTGGTTATCATCCTGTGAATAATGTATAATACGAATATTACTGTATAGAACAGCTAGAATTGAAAAATCAGTTGGAAAAATTGTTTCTTTAACTCTAGTGTCTTTCTTCAAGTATAATTAATATTGCATTTAAATGATTATTCATAAATTGATATACTATAGCTATATTGTTATAGGGCCTCATCAACAATATATGATTCTGTTTTATCAATGAAACTATTCCAAAGTTATTTCATATTGTTGAACGTTCGTTTAACTTTCATAATGAAGCTCCAAAATCTACTCTACAGACTATGACAGACAAGTCAAAATCTGCTTCTCTAATTGAATTGGTTGCTTTTCGTCGAAAAAATTTGTCAAGGCTACTGACTCTCATAAGATCTTTGGCTCGTATAACACGATATCTCAAATAAATGTCAAATTTATTTTACTTACATTCACACTATTCGTTTGTCTCCGCAAATGTTTTCAACAAAACTTCTTTCAGTGAAAAGTAACTTTACCCTTAAAATAGCGTTTGTTGTTATGATCAACATCACGAGAGTTCTCATATGCCACAAAAACGACTCGATCGTTTTTCACGTTTCAGTTCCGTAGGTATTATATTGAAAGCTTTTTCTATTGGAATACATGATGAATAAACTGAGGAAATATTATAGTTATGCCACAAATATAATTTTCCTCTGAAAAAATCTTTCTCCACATATATAACATGAAACAATCGAATGGTTGATTATAAAGAATATCGCAATTTCTACGTCAATCATTTAATCAGTTAATTTTTTTCCAGTGCGTTTATCTGTTTTAACTGAAGTCGTCGAAACTGTAGATGTGGATGGCAGTGGAGATACAACCAACGAAAGATACACATACACGTCTACGCTACTCATGTGCTGATCGAGATATACACTCGCCTTTATACTCACAGCCTAAAAAAGAGGATCTAAGGGTACCTTCCAATAGTAGGACTTAATGACCCCAAGGTATCCTCAATAGTAAGACTCGAGGATCTTAAGGTACCTCCTAATAATAAGATTTGAGGACTCCAAGGTGCTCCCCAACAGTAGGACTTGAAGACCTAAGAGTCCCCCAATAGTAGGACCGTTACTCGGGAACGATAACTTTCCAGCCCTACCTACACCCACGATCAACATTAACTTGTAATTCTTCTCAAGATATACGAATTTTCAAGTTCATATTTTATGTGACTTTTATCTCATAATCAAAAATATTTTCTTTACATGAATCAGTTAAAAAGAAAAGGGAATGATTAGAGCATATATGTTTTTTTATTTTTTCATATGATAAAGTGATATACGATAGAAAAAAAAACAAAAAAAAAGAAAAGAAAAACAACAACTAAAAATGATCGCGACATGAGCAAGTTCCATCGGGAGAGAAGTGATGTATACCATTTGCATCACGTACTATTATTTTACATTGCCAAATTTTGGCAATGAGTTTTGTCACCCCATCTAAAAGAGTAAATGCATAAGTTACTAATAATAATACGAAAAAAAGCAAGAAGAACTTACGACAATTGCCACACACACGAAGATTCTTGGTGATTTGAATAAATTTGGGGTTTTCTTGTTGAACAAAATGATAGGCAATTGCAAGTTGTTCGCTATGAGTACATAAAACTGACTCAATTGTTTCATCTTCACGTAATGGACGAGTTATCCAACTGGAATCATAATTATAGCCATATTTAATCAATACACCGGATATATATTTTGCTTTAGCATGAATTTCTTTAGATTGAGGATGAGAACGATCATTAACTTTGAACTCCTGAAAAACAACACAAAATAAACAGATTTGTTTTTCTTTCCAACTCGACAATGTTAATTAGAAAATATTCTTACCAATATTTCACCATTGAATTCTGTCCATGATACTCCTGGTTTAACTTTTATTCCTAACTCTCGAATGCGTTTTGATCGAATATTCACTGCTTCTTGATAATCACCTACTGATGAATATGTATTACAAAGAAGAATTGAACCAGATTTGAGTGTCTCTTTTTCATCAGGAAATAATATTTTCATTCGATCATAGATTTTTTTCGATAAAATGTGTTGATGAGAATTACGTGCTCCAGATAATATTGCCGCTAAAATCAAACATAAATCAATAATAAACAAAAAAAAATCGAATTTCAAGAAGACTTACTATACATAACTGGAGAAGGTGGATTAGATTTTTCATAATCATCTATGAGTTTCTGTGCTTCATCAAATATATAAAGACGACTTAAACAATCAACCTAAAACATAAAATAATATTCATATTTGATAAAATAAACAAATAAATAAACAAACCATCGTAGCAATAACTTGTTTATTTTTCTGAGGAATTTCATTGAAGATGGAATGAGCTTCATTAAGAAGACCAGAATGAGAACATCCATTTAATACACATACATATGTCACTTCATCACGTAAGTGATGAGGCATTTTTCGATATAAATCAACAGCTTCTAAACCCATGTGATTAAGTCCATAGGCATTAACTTGAAAAACAAAAGAAATTAACAGAAACACAATGATAAAAAAAAATCTTTTTTTTACTCATTGCATTATATGTAACAACATCAGGATTATCGATAGATTGAAAAATTTTCTGAGCATTTTCAACAGAACCAGCCTTTCCCTATGACAAAACAAAACGAAATGAATGAAACATATTCTTGTAAGAATCTGAACAATAAATACATACCCACATATGAATCAATGAATTACGTATTTGTTGATTATTATATAAATATGAAGGAACTTGATCAATAATTAATTGACATTTTGAAATCATACCAAGTCGTGCACATGCATTTATCAATATGATTGATACACATTCATTGAGTATGAAACCATGTTGTTTGATATCTTCTAGTAATTGTAAACATTTTAATGGTTCATTATTTATATTATATCCATTCATCATAGCTCCAAATGTGACAATATTTTTTTTCTCGATCATTCGAAATAGCTTCTCGGCACTTTGAACATCATCAAACTTCATTAACATATCTATTGCTGAAGTGAGTAAAACATTGTTATTATGGAAATGTTTAGGCATTTGATCAAGA